ACTTCGTCCCAGGAGATTTGGATTAACTTTAAGGTTGGCCAAGCAGAAACCATAATGATTCTCTCTGTCTGCCCTTGGAATTATCTTCTCATCACTTACTCAAATTGATAGATAGTCACTTTTTCTTTCTGGCTCACCTGTTCCATTTGCAGGTTTGAATAATGCCAAAAGATAAGATGAGTGCATCATGTGAGGTTAAACCAGGTGGTCCATCACATCCCTGAACTCACTTTCAAAAACCACATTTTTTGGAGAAGGAATAGACAGCTATTTATTTCTGCTGTCCTCTCTCCATAAATCAGCAACTTCCTGTGAGCAAACCACAGACTCCCCACAGAAGATGTCAAAACAGATTAGTTTCTCTCAAATCTACTGCCCAGATTAAATGATTGTAACAATCAAACTGGCTTTGAGGCTTTGCATAATTTACATTTACTCCCTCTTTGGAAATCCTGTCTTTGACTTTTTCTCTTCTGTGCTGCAGCCTTGAAGTATTATTACCCTGTAAATCGATGAAGATGATGTATGAGGCATCCACTGCTAGTGGTATAAACCCTTCTGTTTTCTGTGATATATGAGGATGTATCATATTGAATGGAGTACCTATTTACTGACTTCTTTTCTAGAAAAAGCATACACATACAGCAAAGCCAGCTGCTCAGTAATATGCTTAATGTACAACAGTATTTGAAAACATTTTTTTATGAGATGCTGTTGGCAGATGTCAAATTTAGGACACTTTGATTAAACACTTCAATTTTCCTCTTAATGTTTCATCGCATCAATGGCTATCATGCCATTAATAAAGCATATATTGTATATGAATGACACATGTTAGATTGCATACCATCCAAACAAGGTTTGATGGCCAATCATTATCGTTATCGGGACCAAATGGTGATGGATCAGAGAGAGCAGCACAAGCTTTGAATGCAACCTGAAGGTCATAAATATTCCCTGTGTCTGTCTGGATTCTGTGTGCTTATCACTATCCCACTGATCAAATCTGCGTCTTACTCAGCTGTTGTGTGTTTGTGCTCATGTAATCCTAAACAAATGTCTTTCTACCCAGGTAGTTTCAAGATCTACATCTCTCCTTACCATCATTCGTTGTCTTTTGAGGGCCCCTCTGCATTTGTGTATTCATCACTCTTACCTGCTGTTTGCCACAGTGAGTTAGGTCCTTAGGAATGGATCATTACACAGAGCTTCGGTCTGGTGGACTGAAGCAGAAAAATAAGATCGGAGCTTTATGAGGATGTAAATGGCATATCATTGTTCATCTGGCTTTAATGAAGATGTGAGGTCCAACTGTTGCTCAAATAGTGACCCTGCAAGTCATTACAAATTGCTATTTAACAGAATAACCAAAATTAAAAGGCCCATGAACTGTTAGGGGAAAAACAAGTAAATTGAGGTTTAAGTTAAGATTATTCTGCTTGGGCCCATATAAGTTCTCTTTCCCAAACGGCAAGATATACTGTAGTTACTCCATTGTCATTCCACCCGAGTTGCAGCTGCCAATCAATATCTTATTATCAAGCCTCATGAACCTCACTCTCAATACAACTATACTGATGCCAGCCCCGATTAATGCCAAGGTGCCAATACTGACTGAAGAGTGAATGGCTGAGCTTCTTCTTCCCTCCTGACACTGATTAACTCCAAATCATTATTGTTTTTTATCAGATTCCCTTCGTTTCTCAAATGAGACACTTATCTTCCAGAGACAGGTATGAAAGTCAATACAGTTTGCAGTTTTTACACACACACTGGTACCACAGATTTCTGCATTTTCCTGCTGAGAAAATGTTGAGTGTAGAAATATAACATTGGGGTTTGTGCGTCAGTGGAGGTTTGGTGGCTAATCCTGTGTTCCACCATGGTCCCCACTGGCAGGGCTCAGGCTGTTCAAGTAAAGGGCAGAGCCATGTTGTCAGTGAACCAGCAAGTGTCCCGATAGCCTTCTAATAGCTCTGGTAGTATCGTTCTTTCCCTCCGCCTTCGCTTTGATGTGGGGCCTCCTTCTTAGGCCACCGGCGATGGGGGAATAGCCTTTCATATGGGAGCTGCTATACGCCCATGGTCGTGCTCAGTCTAATCCGCCAATATGTTTCACTATGACAAATCCTTCACTGTATTGATGTTGATCCAGAAGAAGAAGAAAAAAAGTTGAGGGCAGAAGTTTGTCTCCCCTAAGGTTATTTTATGCTTTTTAGGGGGGTTGGAGTAAGAAGAGACTGAGAAAAAAATTGGAAGAGTAAAAGAGGAAGGTGAATTTTCCTCAGGAAGTTAATGAAAGTCCTTGAAGTGAGGCGAGGGAAGCTGTCACCTGTCTTGGTGATAGATAGCAGGTCCACTATTATTAGCATCCCTAACCCCAGGCTAGAGTTTTATGCCTTGCTACAGCCATTTGTTGATTAATTCATAAGGTAATGTATGCTATCTGTGCTACAAAGAACACAGATATTAGTCCCTTGGCCTCTCCTGGGATCTCTGACCAACCACAAACCAGGAACTCCTACCAGGCCACAGTGCAGTCAAAAGATTACAATTCCAGAGTAGCCACTACCAAAGAGAAGCCATTTGCACAAATGTCTTGGCTGCTTTTAATGTAAAGAAGAATAATAAACATCTGTGAGGGAAACAGCCTCCCATTTTACAAATATATTCACTTCCATGGGACCAAAGTCAACCTTGTCTAATGTAATTTTTTCAACTTTCAGAGAAAGATTTCAAACTATCAAATAAAGCTCAGCTATGAGGAAACTAAAAATAAGCTCAGAGTGAAGCACAGTGGGTCTGGGAGACTGCAGAGCTTAATGCTTTCTCCTGTTCCTGTGTCTGAAATTGAATGGGACCGCTCAAAAGCCCATGTGGAACATCATAATCAATGTCTGTGTGTATAATGCAGGAACATTGAGTTATGTTATGTAATATAAACAGTCAATAAAAATCCAGTCATTTTCTGAGATTATATTTATTAAATTTCTTCTTACTTGTGGCCACATGCCCTCATGCCCATACACCGTCAGTGCCTTGTCTTTACAATCAGCAAATATGTTCATATTATTAGCCTGACCATAGAATTAGCCTGATTCCCATCAACCTGACAGTTGTAAAAATGGCAAAGTTAGCAGTACTTCAAGCTTTCACATTTAAAACCGTTAACATGTGACAGTAGTAAAAAAACAACTAACAATTTCTTGTTCAGCATTTCAATTCATATAAGTGGTTCTCCATTCCCAATTTCTATCAAGGCAGTTTTTCTGCAAGGAATATTTTAGCCAGATATCTATCCCCTCGTTCTGTAACTTTTTTCAAGATACCTTACAGAACAGTTTTAAGTATTTCATAGCAAGTTCCTTTCTTAGAAGTGCATGTATATTGTCCCAAAAAAGGCAACATTTTTGTGCAGCCCTGGTATGATTTGTTAGTTCTCTGCTTTTGATTTGGGATGTAATGAAAGTGTGAAGAATGGAGTTCTTCCATCAATCTCTTTTCAGACCCATTACACCCATTTTATACCATACTTCCTTTAAGAGTTAAATGTTTTGCTCTGACTCAAATCTGGTTTTTATGGTATAATATTTGCCGCCCTTGCTTCCCCCGTACAAGGCACATTTGAATGTTGACCCAATGCCTACCTTGGTGTTAAGCGTCCACAATAACCGTAATACTAGCATTCAGGTTCACCTATCCTCACCTCTTTCATAAAATAATCCCTCAACTGTAATTACCTTAAGAAATCTTGGCTTTCATAGGTCAGCACTGTGTATGAACACAGTGTTCAAATGTTTGCATATAATTAGGCTTTGCATGCCCATACATATTGAGAACCACGCAACATGAGTCAAAGGAGATAGAACAACACTGTATCTGCTGTATATGGTGTACAGATGCGCTTTTATCTCCATGTGCAAAATGACCATCATCTGCACTTCCTGGATATCTGTCTGTAATACTTCCCTTTTTTGTATCCTGCCATTTTGCACTTCCTCCACAGCTGGCACCATCGTGGAGCAGCATGAAATGACATCAAACTTTCATGAAATTGTCTTTCCTGTTAGTTATGTGCACATGTGTAAATTTGGCATCTGATCCTAATGTTATCCACAAGCACAAGTAATAAAGTCACAGCCAGTGGTGTCAGCTGCCCGTATTTTGTGTATGTGTGTGTGTGTTTGTGAATGTACATGCCTGTGTAAATGAACTGTACTCCCTCTCAACTGCAGGCCTCCTTTCTATTCTATTCCTCATCATTTTCTCACACCCCTCACTCAGCCAGAGTCTCCAGTCATTTATTCACCCAGCACCAAGCTTGGGCGACCAGAAGAATTTACGATCATCAGCTTGGCTTATTCTCACCTCACTGTAAAGCTGTAACGGATTTACCGCCACTGGTATGTCTCTCCCGTCATTAAAATGTAAAAGTTTGCAACGCCTAGAAAGTCACAAATGATGCCGACGAGCTTGGCCATTTTCTTCACTTACATTTCGCCTGGTTGCTGGTAGTTTGTTCCCAACTCGCTCGAAACTAAATCATGAGCTGTCACTGCTCCCATCACTCGAAGTAAACTCCACAGCTCAACTCATCCTCTCTTTTAAAAAAGGGGAGTGTTGCCATTTTCCTCTTTCATACTGTGAACACTGAATCTTTGCTGTCCTGGATGCAGACTTGGCAGGAAGAGAATTCACTACGTTGAGTTATCTTTTGATATTGCTTGATGCATTTTGACTGCATTTATATAAAAATGGCCAAGTTATTCTTCCAATAACGAATGGGTGCCTGGGGAGTTTCCTCCTGAGCTGTCTCCCCAGTACAAACCCGACCTGAAGATTTTGACAGTTTGACACTTTAATTTCCTACTGAGTATTTCACCTGAATTTCCTGGAAAAAAGGAAGACGTGCTGCTATAAAAAAAAAAGTCCATATTGGGTTGGAAATTATTAAAGCCTGGGCCTCAATTAAATCCTCTCTGCCCTTCTCTTTTACTCAGGTTTGGAAAGCACCGGAGGGATGAGCGGCCAGGAGACAGGATGGAGAGGAAGGGCTCCAGTAAATCTAAAGTCGAGGACATGCAGGCGTCAGAAGAGGAGACCCTGCGGATGAGGCTGGAACAAGAGAGGTGAGTGCTCAGACGGAGCCTTGGCTCACTAAAAGCCTGAACAATTAAGTCCCAGCTGAAAAAAAGAAAAAAAAATACTACTGACCGGAAAAGTAGCAAACTACCTAATTAGCAAAATGGAGGAGCAAGGTTGGGAAATTCTGGGAGAGCACTCAGATGTCAATTTGTGAAATGTCCCTTTCTTTTATATCAGTACATTAAATAGATCATTTATGGATTGTTGTTGCCTGTGCCATTCAGAGGCGCTGACCTCCTAATGGTGCTCGTAGGCCCCTGTGGGTTTGGCATGATTGAATGGTGCTCATTATAATAGTGAAATCGATGGAGCTCTGCATTTGTCTTCTCCTGCAGCTCGCCCAGGTTGTTAATTGCTCCAGAATACGTTGTTCCTTTTTATCTGCTCCTCTTGGCTCTATGTCCTCTGGTGTTTGTGGCCATCAGGACGTCCAGAAGAATAAGGCGAGGCATCGGTTTTGCCGCGTGCGCCTCATCCCTCACAGACAAGCCCCATTTAATTCTCTCTAGAAGGGAAGACAATATTGGTGGCAGGGTGAATGAAAAGACAGCTTGCTGCCTCCATTGTTCTCCACCAGCCAAATGAACTCAGTAATCAAACTGCCGTTGGTAATGACAGCTAATTGAATAGAAACAATAGGGCTTGATACCGCTCCTTCTTACGGCGAAGGGAGAGAAGGATGGATGGCTGTCGAAAATGCATGGTACTGCCAACACAAACAAGTGTACAAACAAAAAAACACTCACAAAGGCCCTCTCCCCCTGCTGAATGGAACATCTGGAGGCCTTGCTCAAAAAACTGTAGCACATTTCTTTCTGGTGTTCAACTATGACTTGCAGTGAAGGTCCTCTCCACTGAGGGTGTGAACCTTTCTGGCTGAGGGCCCAACACATGTCTCTCAGTGCACCCTCGAGACTGGCGCCTGGTTCTTCAATCAGATCTGTCCGCTTTGAGAAGCTCCCAAGTAACTGTCATGCTAATCAGCAGAATCAAAACAGACACACAGTGGGCATGAGAGATGTAGAGTACATGCCCTCATAACCCTCCCACACTTATTTTCTTTCACCTCTGCCACCTAATTTCTTTGTCTCCTACTTTGTCTTGGAGCACATTCTCATTCCCTGTCTTGTTTGTGTCCGTTCTGCATCTGTGATCTCCGGCCCCAGCTCCGTATGCAGGAGGGCAACCTAATTCTTTCCTTTTTGTACCTGTTCCCAAATCCCATCACCCAGCCAGGTGGGGATTGTCCTTCGGTTAATGGAAAGGGAATCCTGAGGGAAATTGTGGTGTAATAATAAACCAACCTGCTGTGAAGACAAGTCGATATTCAAAGTATTAGGGTTCAGCTCAGAAATCCATTACTTCTTGTATTTTATGGTAGCGCTACTGTATTACACTCCCTAGGTGCTAAATTTGATTGTCATAGTTCTCTGCTTAAGGCACATGCTCTGACTGATTACATTGCTGCCACAGAGACAGGACCATTTAAGAGTGCATTTATGAAATTATGGTAAGGTAACTGTAACATGTTTTCTAAGCTAGCAATCGTCAGTCAGCTCTTTGTCAGTACGACCCGGGATGGGCCGCAGCCAAAACCCCCGGCTCAGCTGACATTAGCGATCATTAATTCAAGCAGACGGTTCTGACAGGGGCTTTTAGTGATTCAAAATAGGAGTTAGTGAAGAGGTGAGACAGATTAATTCATAAAACCTGCCCTTTTTACTCTGCAATAAGGCAGCTACGGTTATATATTTAAAACTCTGACCTTGGTATGATTCATGCCATTTATGGTTTGGCCTGCAGTCCTTGCAGACACAACTCGTTTATTTTGTGTAAAAATGTTCTCCTCCATTGATATCTTGTCAGCCTCTTACAGATTGAAGATGATGGAGAAGAGAGTACATAAAACTTTCGACTTCATTGCTAGAGCGCAGTGCAGTGCATCCACTTGATGAGGATTGGTTATCAGCAGCATTTGTTTTGCTAAAATCTGGCAGATTTTATACAGCTCCTGTGATTTACTGTTTAATGTCTCATCAAAGCAGCATTAGTACCTGTGGATAGGCTGATCTGAATGCTTGTTCAGCCCAGCAGTGGCAGCCATTACTCTGGTTCTTTAAGGCTGTGGACGGCACCCAAGACACCCCTATCTGACTGGCTCATGTTGAGAGGACTGTGGAGACAACAAGCGCTCTGATTGGACCTTGGGTGGGTTGGAGAGCAGTTGTTTCTGTGGCTATGGCCCTCATTCACACAGGGCCATGGAGGAAAAGAGAGAGAAAGAATGAAACACAGAGCGGGTGGTGTTGGTGGAGCTTCTATCAGTCTCTGACTTATCTGCACATGCTAGCCCTGGAACTATATGTTCCCAGCCAAAGTGGGAAGCACACAAAGACAACCTGACAATGTTCCTTCTTCATTTTCCGCCTGAACTGAACTCCATTCGCCTTTCTCTGTGGCAGCTGATTATGATGTCCATTCTCTCTTATCTGCTTGGCTCCGGTTGGCTTCTAATCAGTGGCCAGCACTCCATTGCCACTCTCGTGTTCCCACTCCCCAGACCACAGGAGAGCACATCACTGCTTTTTTTCACAACAGTGGCCTGCTTCCTCTTGTTTATTGTTTGACTTCCTGCTGACTCTAGACAAACAACACCTGACCAGTGTTTCTGGAGTGGGTCAGTCAGCACAATTTACCTTTTGAAAAACAGCAAACCTGTTTTAGTATTAGTATTAGAATTTTGTCTTTTGTTTAAAAGAGAATGTCTTTTCTATACCATGTTCAGGGTACAGACACCAGTGCCACCAGTAGAAAAAAGTAAAGCAATTTGCTTTTAGGCAGTTCTTCTTTTTCTGTTTTTTGTCACAGTGATTATGGTACCAATGTTATCATTCCACTTTGTCAAACCATCTCATTATTTCAGTATCTTATTTGAGTCTCATTTGCATAGTGAGTTCAAAGGAAGCTCCAACTGACTGATTGGGAAGTGTGATTACATTTGTAATTATATTGATACCTACAGCAAGTTAATGTGATTGTTAACACTGTGAATTAACACCATGGAACTTGGACAATTATCTCTGTGATTGCATTATGCTGTTATGGGCCAAGTGTCAAACAAAAGATGGGCTATCGGAGGTTTGCGATTCTGCACAGACAGCTGCACGCAGAGTCATTTACTGCACTTTGATTAGATTCAGATACATTCTGCCCTCCATCTGCACTTCAGAACAATAGAACATGTTTTGGTGAGGGAGTATTGAAAAGAAAAATCTATTCAAGGCAGCTGGATGAGAAAGTAAGAGAGCAAATACATTCTGTTTCATCAACCGCAGTAACAATGCATATTGAAGAGACCGACTTTCAAACTTGTAAGTGTGTTGACTTCAAAATGAGTGCAGGAGGGTACAGACATCCCCGCACCCCCCAACTTTTGTCAAACATATAGAGAAGGAGTCTGCTGCCTTTGTTTCATCCAAAAGAGCAGCGCTGTTGGATGAACAGTGACTTTTATTCAGTGTGGAGAGGAAGGACTTGAGGTGAGCTGACTACCAGTTCACACCAGGCCTCTCATTCCACCAATATAATGTGTTAAAGTAATTACTTGACGTGACAGTCTTCTGCTTTCACATTCAGGCGCTGAAAGAAAGCTTTAGCAACAGGATCATTACAGATCCCGTTTTTTGTTCATGTGAAGGTGCGGTGTTCAGACTCAATTTACAATGAATGTATGAATGATAAGAAAAACAACAGGGACAACTGAAAAAACTGAAAGGGAGGGACGGTAAAGAAAGAATAATGTCATCCGGCTGATACATAATTTTCTTAAAGACATAGTCAGTCAGTGGATTAGGGATTGAACTTAAACTGCCCTAAAAGCCTCAGCATTAGACTGTCTAGACTGTCTGTTAGCCAGGAGGAAATGCCTTTCCACTGCACTGTTTTGAAGAACAAGTGAGTAAGCATTGCATTTTATTTAAAGGTAGATGTGAGGTCAGTTCTACTTCTAAGAATACAGAGTTAAACACAGACAACACAAAGGACCAAGCAATTACTGGCATAACACTGGAATTATCTTATTTTCTGTCATCAGTGTAATTAATATTAACATTAAAATCCACGGTGGGGCTAGAATGAGGCACTACAGCTTGATTGTCCTCTTTTTGAAATAAAATCTGGCTGGTTCCTTAAAAGCTACAGTGTCCTCTCATCTCAAAACGTAGTATCTGGTAAGAGTAGAAGAGAGGAGAAGGGCTGGTAATTGGGGTTGTACAGTAATAATGTGTTTAGTGTGGGCAGCACTTTCTTCAGTGTTAACATGCTGGGCCATTAATTGGCTAATGGAGTATATATGGCACAGCGGGGGTGGTCTCTTAGGAGAAAATGGGGGAAGGAGAGGAGTTGGAAGTGGAGCAGCAGTTGCAGGTTGCCCAAGAAGAATGCAGTTAGCAGGTGTGAATTTAAGGTTTAGAGCTAATGGATATATTGCAAAGCCAACCAAATTCCAACCCTATTTCTTACAAAATGCGTTTACGTAATACCAATTTGCTTGATGTTTTTGTCAATCTCTGCTTTGAAGTCATAGAGAGGAGTTTGAGGTGAATGGTTGGGCATACAGGGCATAGGACTTTGACACTGGAGACTGTGGTTTGTGGTCCAGGTGTAAGGTTTAGGCTTTCATTATAAACGTCACAGTATTATGTTGATACCAAGACCTAAGAGTCTACAGCCAAACAAGAGGATGCCTTCTGATAGGCTGGTCTGGTAGGATGAATAACGACCAGGTGGAGGAGACTCAGTGTGGGGGTTCCGTCTTGAAAGTGGTTTCACCCGAGCAAGTTACTGGCCCCCCGGGCAATACCTAGATGAGACATGAGAGAGGTGTGAACCGGGTTGAATAGGAAGGATGAGGGGATGAGGGAAGAGGGTATGAAAGGGATGAGTGAAGAGAGGAAGAGGGGATAAAGGGATGAGGGGGAGTCTATCAGATGTTGAAATATTTTAAAGGATAAGTGAAACCTTGGTGGCGCTAGATGAAATGTCATGGGATCACCATAATCAGTTGGATTCATCCTCTGGGGCCCATCATTGTGCAATCCCAAGTTCTGACAGACTGACAAACAGACCAGCATTGCCGTCTTTAGAGTCACACTGCCTACATGACTACAAAAATATTCTGGAAGGAATTTCCTAACATTTTTTTTTTCATGTAAATTAGATGCATACAAATGTCATTAGGTGACGGGGTTGCTAAATTCCTGGTAGTTTGATTCTTGACACGTCCATAGGAGACATCTCGCAGAAAATATGCACTTGGGAATGCGGCATTCAAATCTCAGCTTTCCACAGGGAGACCCACTGCCAACTGGCCACGGGTGGACACCACATCATCACCACATCACCACACCTTTCCTTTCTGACAGCCAGCACAAGTTGTAAAAGGCCTCTCCCTGGTAGAGTCTATTCGGGCTGGGCTCGGGCCAATTGTTTTTTTTATACTTCAGGCTCGGGTTGGGCTGGGGCTTATTTAACTTCTCACCTTTCATTGTGCCCATTATTGCACAATAAGCATGTACATGGACATACGGACATACAACGGTGGACGCGATACTTTTTCTTCACAACACATAAACAGTGAACGATGACCACCGTACCTGTCCTGTACACAGTTCAAAGGATTTTAATTGTTTTTCTATTTAAAGTTAGCCAGTTGGCGAAGAGTTCTTTGAAACGATGTTCTTCAATTTCTATGAAGTTACTCAAAATCAAAGACAAGTAAGCAATACAACTTACATTTTCTCTGTAATGACAGTCTGTATTTCAAACACACAGGCAGGTAGATATTTTGTAAGACAAAAAGAGCCATGCCTTCTTCTGAAAATCTGCTGAGTGTAAAAAAATCAGCCAACTTACTAGATGATAATGACACTTAAGACACCAGGATGACTCACATCTTTTGATATTTTTGGGTAGTATAATTTTATTGAAATGCACCTATTAGCTTTATTATGTCAGACTCCTGAGGCCTGGAAGAGAAGTCTCTCTCTTTTAGCTTCATGTCGCCAGTCTAGCCAAGGCCATTATCTTGCCCCGAATGTCAATATTGCCGTTATTATGAATCTGATTAGTCCATAAAATGCCAGAGGGTCCTGAGATCCCAGCGGACTTCCGTGAACCTGTGGTAACATCATTGTCTAGTCCTTCCTGGCAGAGATCTGACATCACTTTAGCCAGATGGCAGGTGAAAAGGCTTCTGGGAATTAGTGCCTTTCTCTCTGTGAGTCTTGTTTTCCATTTCCTAACAGCACAAGCTAACATAATACCACACCGAATGCACACAACTATGCTGTGAGTTGAACATTTGCATGTCGTACCTGGTCTGCAACAATGCAAAAATACACCAAACCAGCTTCGAGGCTTTATAGATGACTGCATATCATGCAACATTGCATCAGGTCTCCATCAAAATCTCATTTCACAGATAATGCTGAGAAAATGGGATTTTGGACAGCTAAAAATAAACAAGGCAGTCTATGGGTAGGATGTGGGAATTGGGTTAATCCGGCACTGAAAAATGGTGATTGTTTGAAATGTGATTACTGTTATTAAAATACACAGACATAGGAGATAGAGTTAGGCTAGTATTCTAGCTTAATTCCAAACCTGTCAATCATCTGTGAGGAGCAGCAGTTGGGGGGGTCAGAGTTCAGTTATGACCTGAGGTAATAGGGAAGCCCAGCACTAGTGGGAGGTAGCGTACCCTACAGCAGGGATACAACATCTGGAACCAGTGAGCTGTCTGGTGGTTGCTGCCAGGGTCACCGCAGTGGGAGGTCAACTCCCCCCTTCGCCTGCCCTCAGCCCTTTTCCTGTGTACTCCCCACTGTCCACCTCCCCACTGCTACAATGCCAGCTCTCCTCGCTCCCATGTAGCACCATGACTGAGTCTTGTTAGCCGCAGACAGATGGGCATTCACATGGAACCATTCTCTGAGACAGGAAAGGCCCTCTGAAAGGCTCTGTTGTGTGAAAGTGGTCCCGAGGTGAGGAACAGCATGGATGGAGAGGAAAGGCTGGGAAGGAGAAAGAGGAGGTCTGACTGTCGTCATCCACCTCCTCTTGTTACGCGATCTGAGGCATAAAATCAGAACACTCATCTCGGCCTCTAAAAGTTGGAACGCTGCTGAAAGCATCTCTGAGTCTGGATGGAATATATAGTTTTTTAACCCCATCTCTTATCCTGTGTTGCCTCCTTACTGTGCATTTCTTATTTACTTGCCAGTCAATTCCTCAAATATCATTAAATATATCCTTTTTTCTCTTACTGGGTAGTCCCCGTCCGATATGGGTTTTTGGGGGCCAATGCCAATATTAAAGTGAACAAGAGACAATGTATGAGCTGATGTTTTGATTTAGAAAATTAATAGCATAGTAGACCTTTTTCCTGTATAAACTACACTTAAAACAGGCCGATATTGAAAGCTGTTATATATGTGGGCTATAATACGTTTCCTGAATGGATTATGTGAACACATTACAGTCTCAACAACTCAACATGTAAACGATTGCACATTAATAAATATTTGCTGCTAGAACGTGCAGCCATCTGTAAACAGAGAGAGCAGAATAAGCATGTTTTTTCTACCTTACCCATAATCTGCCATAATGGTTACTTTTAATGTGGCATATTCACATGTACTTTGTCCCTTTACTAGCACTCTTTTAATTCTATCTAAAGCAAGCTACGAGAAAACATTTTTCAACCACCATTCGGTTCTAAAACATGCCATCTATGACACAGTGACACAGAGGAAACGCTGCTGTTGAATGCATCTGATACTACATGGCTGTCTAAAATGAGGACTTGCTGCTTTGAGATTTCACACTAACGTTTCATATTTGAAAGAGGAGCTAGATAACTTTGTTTAGCTGGAAGCTGTGTTAGAAATTGTTCAGCTCACATGTATTTACATGTCCCGCTGGTTTAATCATTTCTGACTAACCGACTGTAACTACACACGTTACGTTAGTTATACATTTAACGCTATAGTTTAACCGCTCATTAACGTTAGAGCTCTTCCACTGATAAACATGGCATTAGCTTTATGGTTAATCTAATTTAGCAATGGGCTGCTGTAAGTGATTTTACAGAATATTTAGAAGCAATGAACTTTGGAGAAATGATCGGACCATTCACTAGACCTGTTTCAGAAATAAATCTACAATCATGTTTGTCTACAGTGTAGCCTCCAGCACTAAACTACTGTAACATTAAACATACTTTTGTGACCAGGAGAGGGCAATGAAAAACAGGAGGAGGAGGTACAATTAGTCTTTACTAATGTATATAATTTGCAAGTTAGCATTTTTGTTGGAGTTACCAGGCATACATTATGAACATTTTTCCAGTCTTGTAAAAACAACATGAAAACTGGATATGTTTCCATCAGAAGAGTTGGAACAAATATTGTATACTTTTCAAATCAAAAATCAAAATCAAAATAATCAAACATAGTAAGAATCTTTTAAGAGCCAATTAATATTGGACAATTTGAAGTGGTTCTTTTGCAGTTGGTCAAATACATTGTTTCACCCAAAGACAAAAGCAAAGAAAAGTACCTACTTTTCAAACCATCCAAAACCATTTTAAGTGCTTAAAAAGGCCCCATTTAGTCATTTATGACTCATCAGATGTATTTCGCTCACAATACAACAGAAAATGTCCTCCTCACCAAACATTTTTTAAAGGTGTAAAATCTTTTTTTCCCAGTGAGGAAATTATATTGATTTGTTGCATTTTAAGCTTAATTTTTAGTTTGCCAGATTCACAAATAAAAAAAAACACATATACTCATATACACACTTTTTCTCTTCAATGTGTTTATCACAGAATACAGGCCAAGACAAGGGAGATTCGGGAGAGGCAGGCAAAGGAGAGGGACTATGCCGAAATCCAAGACGTTGTCAGTCGCACCTTCAGCTCAGATGAGGAGCATACGTACGCTGGCATCGGATCATTAGACTCGTCGGTGGATAGCAGCAGCATGGAGCCTTACAACCACCACTACCATCTCCCTCAGAGTCCCCAGAGCCCTCACCTTCCCTTGAGCCTTCAGGACAATGGTCCACCCCTCGAGGCTCTGTATGCCCAGGTCAACAAGCCACGCAATGGACGCCCTGCAGCTCCAGACAGGTAGGAGGCGCCCAAACACACATCCACAGTGTGTGCTGTCTAACCATTTGTGCCATGTGATTAGACGTTGGGACAGTTCATTTACACCTCATCTAAAATGTAGTAACATTGGTGTGATTGTATTTGTTCACTTTTACTTGTCATTACATGTCGTGACACATGCCGCACAGAAAAACAATGAATTTCACACAGGGTTTTATCGATGCATCGTCCCACATGGCTTTGCCCTGTGTGAACAGCCAGAATCCACAGGCAAGGTAAAACAACAAGAGCCTATCAGTTTTAAATGTGTTAGAATTTAATATCATCGTGTCATTTTTTTTTCATTATCCCTGGATCACAGGTTATCCTCCCCGGCCTCTCTTTCAAAGACTCACATTGCATGTGAGTTCAGCTTGTTTGTCGCTGGGGGGATGTACCGCTCATAACCTCCATGTCAACTTGATTATTTGATGTGACGACAATGCCAGGTGGAGCTTTAGTTTTATATTACTGTGTTGATAGCCTATTGCCAATAGGCCTGTGTACATTTATCACGTGTTTTTTATTGATGCATTTATTCTCTTTTTTGGCTCCAGCAAATGGGAAAGTATCCATAGTTTCTTATATTGTGAGGGAAGGTGACTTAGCTAGTTACAGCTTTACAACTTAGTTCTTCCTTAACAAAGCCTATGATTGATGCTGCATCCTCAATAGTCTAAGTCCATAAAACCTGGGACAAAAAACAATTGATAAAGCAATATTAACAAACATACAATATCTTAGTCACACCAACAGCATTTTATTTTTCTAACATGTTAATTTATCTATATTCATCTTGATTTCAACAATACAAGCTTTTACAACCAAGACTAGTATTTATTTTGATTATATATACTGCTTGTTGCTCTGCCCTGTGAGTTGGAGGTTTTATGGGGGCTACCTGCAGGTCATATCCAGTGGTGACAAGCCAGGAGATTTCTATTCCCATGGTGTCCCAGAACCTTTCATGGTGTTATTAATGGATCGGATAATACCTACCTCCTGTGATTGACAGCTGTCACTTGGGGGCTTGTGACCTTTCACTGCTAGGCTAAGGTTGGGGTGGAGTGCATGTGTTACTGTGTGTGACCAAGACAGAGCACTTCTGTGTGAGTGTGGGTATGTTTTTTTTAAAAGGATTTACAAACAGTTGAGTAGGTATGACAAGGTTATCTGGCCCTTCTGATAGCCGGCTAAATTCATATGCCAATACATCCGGGCCTTAGTGAAGGCCACTGATCCATATGTCTAAAGTGAAGGTTACCTCCACATGTTTCCTCAGGATAGCCTCCTTGAGTCATAGAAATTAACTGCTGTAACCTATCTGACTTCCGAAGCAGAAGTTCATGATAAGCCTGGATGTTTGTTGAAAAAAGAGGCAAAGCAATGCTTGATGGGTGTCCAGCAAGTCTGTGTATTCAGATCACAAGACTCTTAAGATGTTGGTCAGTGATAGACATGATGCTATTGATTCTCTGTGTGAATATCAATAAACTATGTGCAGGGATACAGAATAAAAGCCTCAACATAGGACAACCATGTTAGTTCCAGAGGGAATATTAATAGCAATTTGCTTAGTAGCTCTCACATAGAAATAGACGGTTATGCAAAATACCTGACTGTAAACAGATGCTTTGTTACTTAGATATGGCTTTAAATGTTTTAAATTGTCTGAAGCTTTTGAAGCTTTTCTATATTTGTATACATACTGTAGTTGTTTTTTGTCTTAAATATTGGTATAATATCTTTTTATATTGGAAAATGAATACATTATGCAAATGATCAGGTCATTTTCAACAAACAAATGGCATAAAAAGAACCTCCTCGTCTTCTCCTTCTTGCTCTCTTGTTTTAGCAGTTTCTTGGAAATTGTGGATTCTCACCTTCATAGTTTTATTTCAGCATAAAAAGCTAGTGTTGTATGTTAATTATAAATAGAGGCTTATATTTGGTTTGAGGTCTGAGCCTTAAGTATTGATAGCGCAGTATGGAGTTTTGTTTGGAGGGACTGGATTAGCTCTCGCAAGTGTTGTGATTTGATTTGAAATATGCACCGCATGTTCAACACTGCATTTTTGTTTTGCACCTCGCTGCTTTGCATATCTTGTGTATGCCAGCCCGGCTGTATGCCTGTAATATTTGTCTTGCTGCCTTTGAGATATAATAATATGCACTGGTTCTTATTTAGGGGAGGCTTTCTATTTACGATTTGCAAAAAGGAGCTTGAAGCACATTCAGATTCAAGACTCCTGTCACTTGCCTATCATCACAAACGTAAACAGTAATTTGCATTTCTAAATTAAACTTAATGGAACTTCCATTGTCAAATATAAAGCGGCAACACAACAGAATTTGCAATCATTTCTGACTGTTCCATGTATCAAGACGAAAACATTGGATTCAGAACTTTTGTTTTGCCACTTAGAGACTCAGTATGACTTACAATTTCTTCACTTTCTCATCCTGCCACTGCTACTTAACCTACAATTTTAAAGCCACAGAGATAACACAAACTTCCTGTTTGAAGGTCAGGAAAAAGGAAGTAGATGAGGTTTGTTCAGGGAAGGCTGCTCATTCCAGTCAGTCAGTGTCGATATGAAAGAGAAGAAGGAGTTGCATTTAACCCTGACCTGGATACTGTTACCGGCTTCTGATGGGGGCCCTGGAGAAACGCTGATCAAAGGGTAGGTTAAGCATCCTATCTTACTGGGATATTTGAGTTATTTTCTAGTAGAGTTAAGTCCCATAGTCAGACATCTCAAATCTTGCAACACTCCTAAATGCACAACATGCAAAACCAAAAAATAGGTTAAAAATCACACTGCCAATAACCCTTATATTTTATCTGTCAGGCTGCAGTGTGTAGCAATACACACATTTCAACCAGCAGAATCATTACCAAAACACATAACACAGAAATACACTGCTCCAAAAAATAAAGGGAACACTAAAATATCCTAGATCTGAATGAATGAAATAATCTCATTAAATACTCCTTTCTTTACATAGTTGAATGTGCTGACAACAAAATCACACAAAAATTATAAATGGAAATCAAATTTATCAACCCATGGAGGTCTGGATTTGGAGTCACACTCAAAATCAACGTGGAAAACCACACTACAGGCCGATCCAACTTTGATGTAATGTCCTTAAAACAAGTCAAAATGAGGCTCAGTAGTGTGTGTGGCCTCCACGTGCCTGTATGACCTCCCTACAACGCCTGGGCATGCTCCTGATGAGGTGGCGGATGGTCTCCTGAGGGATCTCCTCCCAGACCTGGACTAAAGCATCCGCCAACTCCTGGACAGTCTGTGGTGCAACGTAGTGTTGGTGGATGGAGCGAGACATGATGTCCTAGATGTGCTCAATTGGATTCAGATTCTGGGGAACAGGCGGGCCAGTCCATAGCATTAATGCCTTCCTCTTTTAGGAACTGCAGACACACTCCAGCCACATGAGGTCTAGCATTGTCTTGCATTAGGAGGAACCCAGGGCCAACCGCACCAGCATATGGTCTCACAAGGGGTCTGAGGATCTCATCTCGGTACCTAATGGCAGTCAGGCTACCTCTGGCGAGCACATGGAGGGCTGTGTGGTCCCCCAAAGAAATGCCACCCCACACCATTACTGACCCACCGCCAAACCGGTCATGCTGGAGGATGTTGTAGGCAGCAGAACGTTCTCCACGGCGTCTCCAGACTCTGTCACGTCTGTCACATGTGCTCAGTGTGAACCTGCTTTCATCTGTGAAGAGCACGGGGTGCCAGTGGCGAATTTGCCAATCTTGGTGTGCTCTGGCAAATGCCAAACGTCCTGCACGGTGTTGGGCTGTAAGTACAACCCCCACCTGTGGACGTCAGGCCCTCATACCACCCTCATGGAGTCTGTTTCTGACCGTTTGAGCAGACACAAGCATATTTGTGGCCTGCTGGAGGTCATTTTGCAGGGCTCTGGCAGTGCTCCTCTTGCTCCTTCTTGTACATAGGTGGAGGTAGCGGTCCTGCTGCTGGGTTGTTGCCCTCCTACGGCCTCCTCCACGTCTCCTGATGTACTGGCCTGTCTCCTGGTAGCGCCTCCATGCTCTGGACACTACACTGACAGACACAGCAAACCTTCTTGCCACAGCTCGCATTAATGTGCCATCCTGGATGAGCTGCATTACCTGAGCCACTTGTGTGGGTTGTAGACTCCGTCTCATGCTGCCACTAGAGTGAAAGCACCGCCAGCATTCAAAAGTGACCAAAACATCAGCCAGGAAGCATAGGAACTGAGAAGTGGTCTGTCGTCACCACCTGCAGAACCACTCCTTTATTGGGGATGTCTTGCTAATTGCCTATAATTTCCACCTGTTGTCTATTCCATTTGCACAACAGCATGTGAAATTGATTGTCAATCAGTGTTGCTTCCTACGTGGACTGTTTGACTTCACAGGAGTGTGACTGACTTCGAGTTACATTGTGTTGTTTAAGTGTTCCCTTTATTTTTTTGAGCAGTGTGTATATATCTATCTATATATATATATATTAGTTTCTGACTAGCTTTCAGTATCTCCTACAGCATAACAAATAATATTATTTGGGGGGGTATTACCATGGTGGAAGCTACCTCGTGATTATCATATGACCTCTAGAGTGGCACAACTGCACAAATCTTACCTTGTAAAATTGGTTCCAAGGACCACCACATAAATGGAATCAAATTGAGTTGAAATGAGCTGACAGCCTTCCTTTATTTTTCAGTCTTCGCTGGGAATAACACACCAAATGCTGAACAGAGTCAGTGGCTGTGTTGGAGGATGACTACACTCATATTAATCGGTATCTTACATCTAAAAGCCACCTAGTCAAACATTTGCATTGCTGGAAATACATCAAACAATGCTAGTGTACCCAGGAGTCTAAGTTCCCATCAGTTTGTTTACTGTACATCCCTCAGTGCTGTCATTACAAGACAGCATTTTAGTGAAATTGAAGAAT